TGCTACTTATACATCAATACTTCCTCTGGTCCTGTTTATAAGAAAAAATTTACTTTTTTTAAATTCATTGCATAACCAATGTATCCGAACTATATATAGTTTATATGCATTACTTATTCAATGAATTTAAAGTAAACTGTTTTCTTATAAATAGTAGCAGAGGAAGTATCTCTTAAATTCTTTTTCCTTTCAATTCAAATCAAGAGTATTTATTTGCGTGCTATCTAATAAAAAAAATCTTCAATTTTAGGGTCCTGAGGTTAGGAGTGGGGATTTGCCACAACCAATCAATTTGACAACTGGGCAGGAATTCACTTTTACTATTCAAAGAGGTGTTGGAACTGCCGATTGTGTCAGTGTGAACTACGATGATTTTGTCAATGATGTTGCAGAGGGTGACACGATTCTTGTTGATGGTATGTTTATCTATCGATAAGTCAAAATATTCATATTACATACTTCTTCCTGTCTCGACTATAAGTAAAAGTAATCAACTTTAAGCTTATTAAGAACTTTGCTAACTGCTTATAACACTTTATGTATGATATAGGCGGTATGATGTCGTTTATGGTTAAGTCGAAGACAGAGAATTTGGTGAAATGTGAAGTTGTTGATGGAGGAGAGCTTAAATCAAGGAGACATTTGAATGTTCGAGGAAAAAGTGCAACATTGCCTTCAATAACTGGTTAGAATACATATTTATTAACTAATTCTTGTTGGTTTTACGGTGGTTTCGTATTATGGATATAATCTTCTTCACATTGATTTGTTGCAGAGAAGGATTGGGATGATATCAAATTCGGAGTGGATAACAAAGTTGATTTCTATGCTGTTTCTTTTGTTAAGGATGCCGAAGTTGTTCACGAACTGAAGAAGTATTTGAAGAGTAAATAACGAACAAAAATTATTAATTTTTCAATTTGGCAGATTATTTTGTTGCTCGTTTATATTATGAGTATGCTGAATTTCTTATTCAATTTAATAATGCAGGCTGTGATGCTGATATACATGTCATTGTAAAAATTGAAAGTGCGGATTCTATACCGAATTTGCATTCAATTATCACTGCATCCGATGGGGTACTCGCCTTTTCCTCGTATTAAAGTGAAACCAAACAATTATCACTTCCAGAATCAATTCAAACGTGAAACCAAACATACACTTTAATTGTTGATAGAGATTGTAGAGTGCTGTGATACTAGTTGTTGATTTTGATCTGTCTACTTTTGCTATCTTGTTTAGGCTATGGTTGCCAGAGGAGATCTTGGCGCTGAGCTCCCTATTGAAGAGGTTCCTCTTTTACAGGTAAAGATGGTTATCAATTGTTTTCGTTCTATGAATCACTGACACGAACATTGAACACGACACTTATGTTGATATGTTTACACCGACAATTATTGGAAAAAATGGAAGCAAATGAATGTAACTACATGTGTCAGTGTTGAACAATGACAATTGTTATACATTAGACACGTTTTCATTTTGAAGTGTCGGTGCTATATAGGTGTGAAGTTAAGCTAATTGTAAGTCATAACATCCTCGTGTAGGAAGAGATAATCAACTTGTGTCGTAGCATGGGAAAGGCTGTGATTGTTGCAACGAATATGCTTGAAAGCATGATTGTTCATCCAACTCCAACTAGAGCCGAGGTATCAGATATAGCTATCGCTGTTCGAGAAGGCTCTGATGGAATTATGCTGTCCGGAGAAACTGCTCACGGAAAGTAAGTAATTATATTTCCCTTTCCTTAGTGCCCAATTACATTCATAGGATCAAGGTTGTTAAGATCAGGATCTTACATAAGATCGGGATGGGGTGGTAAAGATCGTAAAACATAAGATTGGAAGATCCTACTTAACTATTTTTGTAAAATCGAGAGGGGGTATTAGATTGTTAAACATAAGATCGTAAGAAAAATTGTTAGAAGCTAATTATTTAATTGCAGGTTCCCACTAAAAGCTGTGAAAGTGATGCACACGGTAGCGTTGAGGACAGAAGCCACTATACAAGGCGGTCAAATGCCACTTAACATTGGTCAAGTGTTCAAGGTCGAAAGTCGATCTATTTTGTACCACATTCCTTGTTTTTTAATCCATGTTACTCTTATCATTTGAATGTCGAAACTAAAAACCGTATATCTTTTTTTATTTTGCTCAATGTAGAATCACATGAGTGAGATGTTTGCATACCATGCAACCATTATGTCTAACACGCTAGGAACCTCTACCGTTGTTTTCACTCGAACGGGCTTCATGGCTATCCTACTCAGTCACTATCGTCCTACTGGCACAATATTTGCTTTCACAGACGAGTGAGTTATTTTCTTCCCTTTTCTCTTATCGAAATTAATATGCATTTATTTACGTACTTTTGATATGCAGGAAGAGAGTACAACAAAGACTGGCTTTGTATCAAGGAGTTTGCCCTGTATACATGGAGTTCAGTGACGATTCCGAAGAAACTTTCAGAAGAGCCTTGGATTTTCTACAGGTAACTTTGAAAGACTCATAAAAATATGAGATAATATGGTCAACCAAGCATTACTTACCTTCTTGCCAAACTCCAAATTACTAGAGTCCTTTTAACTGGAAATCGTAGCGTCAAAACCTATGAAGCACATACACCAGAGACACGTCTGATACTGACATGTCAACACTGATACTAATTTGAAAATAAATAAATTAAACGTAATCACAAGTATCAGTGACGTTGTTGGATGTAGACACTGAAACTAAGATAGAATGCTCGATTTCTCTTACGATATTTGTATGATTTGAATATGCAGAAGCAAGGAATGGTTAAGTTAGGAGAAGAAGTTGCACTTGTACAAAGTGGTAGGCAACCCATATGGAGATTCCAATCCACTCACAATATTCAAGTCAGGAAAGTTGAATAAACAAGAAGAATGGATGGAGAAAAACCACAAATAATGTTTCAAGACAATTTATAAAAAATATTTAGAATAATTAGTATTGCCTCTATTGGTTTGTTTCCTTCATAGGTTTCTTATTCTCATCCATTACATGTTGCTGAAATTTTGGTGAGAAATTGAAATGAGTGATTTCAGCAATCTAGGAATGAAATATCAACATAATTGCAGCAATCTATTTTAGTTTGGCCTTATGTTTTTGCCTTGTCGGTCTCATTATAAAGATTCCCTTTACAATAGTTATGTCTAATTATTTGTTGTATTAGTATATTAGGACAATACTTATTAACTTTTTTTATTAAATATTTTTATTTATTGGACTTTAAAGTATCTACATCTAACACTAATAACTACTATTATTAAAAGTCTTTTGTAAATGAAATTTGTTTTTAGGGTTAAATATAAATTATTAAATTTTGTTTTTAGCCTTATAAATTTTTTGATTTAACTGTAATTTTAGTCTCTTTATTTAGTTTTTTTTCATGATTTTAATCTCTCTATTTTAAAAATTATTATTTAGTTTATTTTTTGAATTTTTGTCCCGTTATTTAAAAAATCATGATTTTGATTTTTTTTTAAGTTTAAAGTTATAATTTTAGTCTCCTTTCTAATTTTGGTGATGATGAAAAAGGACTAAAATTTAAAATAAAATTTAAGAGATTAAAATTGTAATTTAAAACTTAAAAAAAAGGACCAAAATAAAAATTCAAAAGAAAATTTTAAAAAAGAGACCGTGATTTTTAAAATGAGGATCAAAATTAAGAAAAAAGCTATATAGAAAGATCAAAATTGCAATTTTGGAAGAAAACTTAAAAAAAATAATTTAAAATAGTAGTTTTTAAAATGGGAGATTAAAATCAAGAAAAAAAGTTAAATAAGGAGACCAAAATTATAATTAATTTAATTTTTTTATATGTTTTGGTCTTTACAAAATTATTACGCTTGTAATTTTAATCCATGTATATTTTTAAATGATTATTTTGCATATATATGTAAAATATTATAAAAAATTCTTCGAAATTTTTTTTTAAAAATTTAATTTTTAAATCGATATTTTCATTACTTTTATTAATATAAAATATCTTTTGAAATTTAAAAAATTTATATTTAATTCTTTTCATTTTAAAATTTTTTAAAGTTTAATAAAAAAATATTTTATAATATTTTAAAAATATACGAAAAAAATTATTTAAAAATTTAAAAGTTTAAAGTTAAATAAACTGTTTTCAAATTTTTGAAAAATAACATAAATTAAAACTGTATACATAGAATTTTTATAGAAATTAAAATATATATTTTTTATAGGCTAAAATTAAAATTTGAAATATTTATAAAGATAAAAATATATTTAATCCTTTATTTCATTTTATTATTGAAAACAACATAATTGATTGTTTCTTTCTCTTAATAAGAATAAATTATAGACCTAATGAGCTAGGCCACATACTATGCTACAATATAAAGGTAATTATAAATATTATATTTATAGTCCATTATTTACAACAATTATTTTTTTATAAATATTATAGGAAACTGAAAAATTACAAGCAATGGAAAAATAAAAATTAGCCCCTTTTTTATTAAAAAGAAAATATACTAAAAATATATGATGTAATAAGAAAAATAAAAAATACATTTTTTAATATTGTATATATATAGTCATTGATTCAAACATTTTATATAGTTATTGAAGAGTTTGAATCAATATATTGAATATGATTGTAATCAATAATAGTTTTATGGAAAAATTTCTTAAACAATTTTATATAAAATGGGACAATTATTGTTAAGTTGTTGAAACATTTTTGGTCTTTGTATTTGCTTTTTAATTTTTAAGAAATTGTTATTTATATTTTGCTCCATAGAAACTCTTCACTCATCTTAAAATTCAGTACCAAACAAAGTATCTACAAAACCATGAAATTATCTCATCATAAAACATTTTCTATAGTCCTTTCATTAGAATCAAATTTGACATTAGAATCAATGATTTAACATATGAATATACTATCAATTTCCAACAAGGAATTAAGCCATTGTATAATTGAAAGTAGAAAGCAAAATGGCTTATTTATGGTCCTCCAAGCACAGCATTCTCAATGTCTTCTCTGCTCAAAGCATAACTAAACCTCCTTTCTACATCTTTTTCAAGATTCCCAGGTCCACTCTTCAAATACCTGCACCAAATTATAACTTATTTGAACTTATCTACTGAAATAAGCACGTGCGAAACTGTTTGGATGAGCTTTTACAAACAATTTATGTCCATAAGCCATTTTCAACTTATTTTCATAAGTTATCAATGACAGCTTATATGGAACTATATGACATTATATATTAGCACCACTAATATAATGTCCTTTGTATTGGTTTAGAAACATCTTCATTCGGTACAGAATACAAGATTCGGTTCTATTGTATAAAGCACTTACACAACGCTGACAACGTCAACACAAAAATAATTTTATATAATTTGATAAAACGGAAGTGATTTCATGTAACAACTAGATATTTCAAGTTCCAATGTCAAGGTTCGTAGTAAGGACTATAACTATAGTGTTATTGCTGTTCATTCTACATCCAATTAACAACACAGGTATAAAATCAATATCTTACTCAACTTTACTTCGGCCGATATTATATTTGACTGAGTAAATGTTAGTGTACCGAAACAGCAAACAATGAAGCTTGGACACAGACACGGATCGGACACAACAAGGACACAGACACACATTTTTTCAGAGGTGCCGGTGTCACAAACATCAATGTGAATGTCCGGTATAACCCTGTTTGAGCCAACCTTGAAGGCCTGGCTCAGGATCCTTAATCAGGAACCAGCCTCTACGTTTAGCTCGGTTATAAGTCACACTGCACATTACCGTAACGAGAAACTCCTGCTACGAGAAACCCACACACCTATTACCTTAAGATTTTAGGTGGATAAGTGGATCAGTGCTTCATAAGTATAAATTCACCCAGATAAACATCAAAACCTCAAGAACCCAGAAGCAAAAAACAGAAGTAAGAACAAAAAAGAAAAACCTTAAAAGAGAAAGAAAGAAACCAACCTAATGTAGATATCAGTGGCATCAAGAGAGAGATGAGCATACCAATCAGGCTTATTCACAAACCACAAAGCCCTATCATCCTTACTCTGATTAAACCCCAAACACTTCAACCACGCCTCAATACAAGGCAAGCTATGCGAGTACAGAGGTGTTGTCTTCTCAGGTAGTTTCTGAAGCCACTCATCTTCAGGAACTAACGGTTCTTCTGATTCTGCTGAAGCTTCAGATGACTTGCACAAAACTGCGGTGGTGATGGGTTTTCTGAGGGAAGTGGAAAGTGGGTTGTGAAAAAGAATGGGTTTTGCGAAAAGGGTTGTGTGAAAGATTGGATTTTGAGAGAAAGTGGATGAAGAGGTTGAAGAAGAAGGGAATGAGGATGAGATTGTGTTTGTGAATGTTGAGGATGAAATGGTGAACATGTTTTTTTTTTAATGTGTGATAATGGTTTTTTTTTTGTTTGGTTTGTTATCTGTGTGATGAATTTGGAATTGAATTGGAATTGGAAGAATGAAGAATAAGAAAGAAAATGAAAATTTGGACAGGGAGTTAGAAAAGAGCTGGATTGCAGGAGATGGTTGTGGAGTGTTATCCAGCAAAAGGGTCTTTGAAGGGTAATTTTGTCATATTCAAGAATTTTGTTTTTTTTTTCAATAAGTAATACTCCAAATCGGAGGCAAGAAAGAACCCCTACCTCTTAATACAACTTAGAGGTTTGGTGTTTCAAAAATGAAAATTACAAGAAAGAGGAAGCATTAATAATACCGAACCACTTCTAAGAATTAAATATAATAGTGGAAATACAATATCGAAATTGAAAGAAGTACCATTAAAAACAATTGCATTTCTCATTATCCATAAATTTCACATTACCGTCAACTAAATAAATAATCTCTACTGTTAATCTTTTATTTGTATTTTTGATTTTGTGGTTATGCAAAAGAAAATATTTCAACTCTTCCTTCTATCGATAAAACCTCCTTACAACCAATCCACCTCTCGATTTTGTCCCGCACTCTTCTAGTAATATTATTGAAAAAATGGACTCAAAAGCTCATAAGATTTGAAAGATATGAAGTGTTGAAGTTATGGTATCAAAGTTGTCAAATTGCCAAATTTTTCTAAGTGTTTTTCAGCTTAAAAGTCTAATTTTATTGGACAGTTTTCTTATTGATTCTAGATGATTCAAGTCAAGTCTTCAACATGAAAGTTGTAAAGGATGATCTCATCTTTCCAATTGTACCAAGATCATGAATTTCTCTTACTTGAGCACCAAATTTCGAAGAGAAGTAGTCACGGTGAAGTTGTTTTACAAGTCAGAATTGAGGTTTAAATTCATGTCCATACCTGTTCTGGACTGGGCCTGCCCGTGGCCAATCACCAGTGAGGTTCAATCCAAGCTTTGCAACGTATCATGCTGAGCATTAGATCTTCCGAGCACACCCGATCATGGGTGACCGGTCGAATACGACCGCGCCCGCCGATGCTCGCGAAGAACGTCCCCGACGAGGGACGCCCCAGACGAGGAACATCCCAATCCAAGCCCTGCTCGAGTACCCTCCTCGTAGGGCAGACTTTCAACCTCTCCGGATGTCTCGGAGTCCTCAGGGTCCCGGGAAGATCGCGTCTTTACCCTCCCTATTCTGCGGAGAGCATCATCCAGGTAGGGGATCACGTGCAGGTCCCCAATACTCATGTAGAATCTGGAAGTCCCTTTGTTGGGTCTGTTTGGTCAGCCCAATAAAGGGACCTTGGCCCAACGTTGGGGGCTATAAATACCCTCTATTTTAAGAGGGTCGGGTATTCATTTATTCACACCTATATACTACTTGCCTGCTCATTCCGTCTCTCACTTTATCATCAGAGTGTCTTGCAGGTACCCCCCATCTTCTTCAAATCCAATTCAAAGCCAACTGTGACGGTCCAATTCTGATCAGGTACGATCAATGGCGCCGTATGTGGGAATCTAAGCTTCCCCGTCTTATTCACTTACAAAGACCAAAGCTAAAACCATCCTCGACTGTCATGGCTGACCAGACTCAGGACAACCAGAACGTCCAAGTCATCGAAGCTAATAACAACCTCGCCGACAACAATGTCGGCCCCGATAACACCGACGTCACCCGCCATATCACTGTCCCCGGCGGAAACATTCTCGGACCTGCCAACTACCGAGACGGAGCCACGGCATCGTCTTCATCAATCCCTCCTCGGCTTGAAGAAGACACTCCAGTTCCTCCGAACTATCCGGTCATTCAATTCCACGAGGTTCTTGTCCCCGCCAGGGCAGACGCCACGACCAGGGCACTGTTTGCGATAATTAACCAGACCAAATATCTCATCTTTGCCCAGGGGAAAGACTGAGAGCACTTTAAGACGACCGAAGGCCCCCTAGAAGACACCAGAGGCCTCAATCCCCTCCTCCTCGACGAACGGAGGAACGTCCCTGATCTCCCCCGCGGAGACAAGATCGGGACATCCCTCGAAGCCCGTCGCCCCGACCAGTCGGGCAGCAACCCCCCTTGGAGAGAGAACAACTCATCGAAACCGGAAGGCGCGACCACGACCCTTCACGGCAAGAAGGAAGAACTCCCGGGGACAGACACAGAGGAATCTACCAATGGTCACATCGCTCGAGAAACGTCCAGCACGACCAGGGCCATCGTGATCGACAATACATCAGATCCCCGTCCCGCTCCCCGGAACAGAGTGACGAGGACGACCCTCGCGTTCCCTTGTCATAGGATATCATGGAGGCGCCCATTCCCCCGAGCATGGAGAAGCTGTTGGTGTAAGCCCTAGAGGCCAATACTTATGGTACTTGTATCGAATTATTTATTAATAATAAAAGGCATTTCTTTATTATGTTTGCTTTCCAAAATAATAAAGTCCCTAGAATGGTTTATTTGTTTAATGAAATGTTAAGTGTGACTTAATCATGAGATCCCATTAAACATAAGACACTATTCTTAAAGTATATGTAGTCAAGCTTTAATGTTGAAATTCTGGCTGCAAATACTCAATGTCATGTTCAATGTTGTGACACCGTGTCTGACTTTCTATAAGACAGTAAATACAAAAACAGTAAAAAAACACAGTCAATTGTTTATCCAGTTCAGTGTGCAACAACACCTACTCTGGGGGCTACCAAGCCAGGGAGGAAATCCACTATAAGAGATGTTAATTCAGGAATAAACCAACCAGTTTATCTCCTCCACTTAAGACCTACCCAATGCAATTTCAATCTAAGTACAACTTAAACCTGAGTTCCTACTCACTCCCCCTCAATCACAGCAGTGATACATAAAACAATTTGACTAATGAATTGATGAAGACACTCTTCAAAAACATACACTTGATTAAGCTTCACAGCTTTTTAATCAAGCAACCCAACCACTCTTGCTTCACAGCTTTGAGTGATACACACACCTAACTTGACTCTGCTTCACAGCTTTAGTCAAGAGACATACAAACACTCTTGCTTCAAAGCTTTGAGTGCTACACAACCCTTACAATTAAAAACCTATTCCAAGTCACTTATCACAATGATAATTGCTTGGATTACAATAGTTAAAACTATACAGCTTTTAAATGATCTTCTGTCCAAAAAGGGATACCTTTCAAAACAGCAGCTCTATTGAATATATAGCAGCTGCATCTTCAGTTAGGGTTTCCCCAAAAAGCTAGGGTTAATTCCATTTGACCTTAAGACTAGGTCACAGGACTTTATCAACCAGGTTAGGGTTGAGCTAGGTTAACCCAAAGAAAACGCAGGATTCTGTTCTGGAAAGACTGAGTCATTTTCCTGAAAAAACTCAGAATTAACCAAACTGCAAACCTGTTAGTTCAGAACAGGATGTCTTAACATTTGTTATGACATCTGAATTCCTGTTCACTGATTTTGGTAAATGTGATCATTTTGCAAAATGCTCATATACACACTCATAAACATCAGTACCTGTATGACAATATTTTTCTGCAAAGGTACCTAATAAATCTGTACCTAATAAACTAGAATGTTATGACATCAGTCATGACATTCGTACACCTGGTTTTACCAAAAATGCATGCCAATACATAAACAACTACAAACTCCCCCTTTGGCAGATTTTTGGCTAAAGCCCCTAAGCAATCAGAGATAGATAGCAACAGAATAAATATGACTGCAGAAAAATGGAATGTCAATTAAAGTCTACCAAAATATATCTCCCCCTCTTTAGCCACAAATGGGCCAAAGATACATGTTCTTAAAGATTATACAGTCATCCAGAAAAAGTAACACAACAAGACAAAAAAAAACTGAACACACTTTGCAAACTCCACCAGGGACCAGCATCAACTCCAAACAGCAACTCCACCAACCTTTAAGCACTATCATCAGACTCAGAGGATTCGGGCTTCTTCCTTTTCTTGAGAGCAATGTCAGCATTCTTCTCTTTGTCTGATGTCTCAACATCCTTAGAGACATCTGGACTTGTTTCAGTATTTGAACTTTCTTGATTTAAAGGAACAGAAATGCCAGGAACTAAGTGGTTCTCGTTCAGAATTCTTGAAACAATTTTTGCTATTGATTGACGAACATAGGCTGACCCTTCCCTATTTGCAATTTCAGGGGGAACTGAAGAAGAAGGATGAGATGAATTACCAGAGGCAGAAGCTTGGGACCTTCCTGCATGTCTTGTTCTCAGCTCTTTGACCTTGGTGGGGTTGGATTCCACTTTTCTAAGAGAAGAGATCTCCAGGACTTCAGAGTCCTGACAAGAAGAGATTGTCCTAGAATCTTGATCAGAGGAAGAGGTTGAAATGGTCGTATTGGATGATGATGGTGTTTGAGGCATTTTGACAGTCTTAGAGGACCAACATCAACTGAAGAGAAAATTCTGATTGAGAGACTGGGTTTTGATGAGGAGACGAGAGGGGAAGGAAGAAAAGGAGTGTCTATTCAACTTCTTAAAAGAATTGAAGGAAATGGGAAAACATAATTTTAACCCAATCAGAACAAGCATAACTCCTTTAACCCTTGTTTTAAGCAAAATTAATTGCTACAATTCCTCATGTTGGCAAATACCCAACTTACCCCTCAAGTTTTCAAATTGATTTGCATCAAGAGCCTTGGTAAAAATGTCAGCCAGCTGTAGCTCAGTGGCAACATGTTCCAATTTGATTGTCTTCTCTTCTACAAGGTCTCTGATAAAGTGATGTCCTATGTCAATATGTTTGGTCCTACTATGCTGAATGGGATTCTTGGAAATGTTGATTGTACTCAGATTGTCACAGTACAATGTCATAACATCTTGTGTGACATTATACTCAGTAAGCATCTGTTTCATCCAGATCATTTGAGAACAGCTACTACCAGCTGCAATGTATTCAGCTTCAGCAGTAGAAAGAGACACACAATTCTGTTTCTTGCTGAACCAGG